TTTGTAATGGTAAGCGCGCCCCGAGTCACCAAAATTATTGCGTCTACTGCCCGTTGCCCACTACCATTGTGGAGAATAACAAGACCTACACTGTCACCAAGGTATAAATTTTGATGGACAATTGGATTTGAGCCATTGCTAACGATTCAATTCGAGGCCACCACTTTGACCATCACCAACTGCCCTTGCACCCGCACCAAGGTCTACACCACCATCCTCCCGACCACCATCTGCCCCGGAAAGTGGTGAGTAGCAATCATTCCCCAATTGACATGACACTATTTGGCCATGATATTAACGGCTCTGCAGCAGCTCTGTCCCTGTCGGAACCGGACCTACTCACTATGCTCCCACTGCCAGCTATACCCCCCCTGTCTATCCTAATGGCACCATCCCAACCTCTAAGCCTTCCGCACCTGGCAACTCCACAAAGCCAGCACCAACCAGCGCACCGACCGCTCCGCCATTCACCGGCTCCGCCAACAAGGCTACTGTTGCCGGCGCCGCTTTGGCTGGTCTCATTGGAGCTGTCGCTTATATCTTGTAAATGCAATAACATTTACGCTAGCAATGTTCACGCGGTTTTAACGAACGGCATGACAATTGCTTGCGGATTTGGAAAATGGTGGGGGAAAGCATTTACACGAACCGACGGCATTTAATGGGTGTTTTATCTGGGTTTATCTTCATTTTTTCCTGGTCTCTTATACTTGGGGAATTCGCAATGAGCATGTAGACTTTCTTCCGGAGGTTTTTTATTTTTAGTTGATGTGGTGTGTGTATAATGGCAAGGGTCCTATTCCAAATCTTAATCGAAGTCGGCTCGACAATTTTCTCCGTCTTTTACGCTTTTCTTGTTATGTTTTATCTATTTCTTCCTTCGGAGTACAGCGGGATCCTACCTGTTCTAGTTTTTATTTTTATTTTTCATTCCTCTGGTCTTCAGGCACGGAAACGGGCAACGCACTTGATGAACCAAAGAGCGATGACCGGTGCGTGTGCCATTTTTTCCCATACGATTTATTAATTTTAACTTTTTCTCTTTTTCCTTTCCATAGTTAATGTAAAGGAAGAATATCCGCTATTTCCTCAGATCTGTCCTAGCTGTAGTCGCTGGCCCCCTTTCCATCCTTGTAATACAAATGGTGTCAGGGACCACTTGCTATTCTATGATGAGTGATCGGTGTGATACGGAAATCCCGTTTTATTTGAGCGAGATTGGATACTTTACCTTACTGTCATACCCCTTGTCTAGGACATTGATAGTCTAGATGCCTCAATATCTCATGGGTCTCTGGATTCCGAACCTATAGTAGGGGAATTTTAATTTGCATTATTTCACAGAGGTCTGGCCCGGGGCTGGCGATAGATTTGGAAAGGTGGATGAGGGCTGGTGGTTGTTGGAACACGGCGGAATGGAATGGATGCGGGTGTCATACCTTGTCACGGGGTGTCACTCGGGTGGGTGTCCGGATTCGGGTTGCTGGTGGGTGGATTGTTGCGGTAAGGTACTCGAGTACGGTACAGTGCACTATAGCACAATTGTAGGGGGGTGAGAGTGGCAGGCGGTTACGATATTGATTGATTGGAATCTCTTTCGTTCTTCTTTATTTTTACATCTATTAGGGGGGCCTTTGAGGCTCTTTACAAATAGTGCCCTGTCCTGGTTCTGTTGTGTCTGACTTTGCAAATCTGAGCATTCTGCATCGATTGTGTTCCGCTGTGTATGTCACGCGGTGGTCTTGGCTCACTCGCCGCAAGTTAACTATCGCAGCAACACGGCAGGAGGGAACCTGCAGGCATGATGATACCCTTTGCAGTGAACTTATCCACCACCCACGACTCCATTGAAGTTCTGTATCCCCCCGCTCACAATCAGTATGATAGATAGATAACGTACCTGTATTTAACTTTACTTCAGTAGCATGATGACTGACCCGCATCCCGACCCGAACACCAAGCTTTAACCATCCGTACTATCCCGCCACAGATCGGTCGATCGAATCAGGATAACCACCAACAGGGTAGACAGCCGGATCCCAAAGGATTGTGGATGAGCCCTCCGATTACTCACTCTACACAACGTTGCACGGGGTGCTTATCGTGGCTGCCTATTATCAGGCTTTTTTGGTGGTGTGGATTGAATTGCGGTCCTTTTGTGATGGTGCTTAGTGAATTTTAGGGGGGGGGGAGAATGGGCTGTTCAAGTTCTTCGCATCCAATGTGTAGTACTGTGTAGTGCATATCCCACCCCTATAGCACCCCACGACAAGGCGATCTAATCCTGAGCGATCTCTAAAATAAATCCTGGAAACGAGACCCGCATTGCGCTTCCTTCGCCGACGGACCCCGGGAGTGTGTTGGAAATTCACGACAACTTTTCCGGGTGTCTTCGGAATTTTCAGGGAGCGCTTGTGATGCTGCTGGTATCCTATGATACCTACATATCATACATACATACCGGGGGGCACGGGGCTTTCGAAACTTGCGGACGGATGATGTGGAGTAAGGTTTGGTTCAGGTGTAACTTGGGTTATGTCAATCTCCTGGGGGCTTTTCCTCTTTTCCCTTTCCTTGTGTGTAGCAAGTGGCAGGGCTCCCGCTAGGCTGGCTTGTCGGTGAGGGGTATGGTACCGTGATGGCGAACATTTGGTTCTGTTGTCTGCTGGGTTGGGTGGGCATGGTGTGTCACTCGGTTTTGGATATCCATATGTTCACCGGGTAGGAGGGGTTCCTACTCGGGTATGGACATGGGTGACCGGGACAACCGGGGGTTCTGGAGGCCTGACCGTTCTGGCCCCACAGGAAACAGGAGAATGGGCTTGGTATCATATGGAGATTGCTCAAACAAGCAGAAAAGCTTTGACACCTGTAATCCATCCCCAGCTGTCCGACTGCACGCGTCCGTACCGGGGTGTCTAATGATAAAGAAAAAACAGGGGTGGGGGGGGGGGACACTGGGTTCAAGCCAGTCTCCTGGGGCGATTCCGGGGCTACTCATAGATACAAGCACAAGGAGATAAGTCACATCGTATCACGGGAATACCGGAGACGACGGACTAAAAGAAGCACCTGTGCGGCGATAATACCTCCTCCACTCTAACCTCTGCCCCAAGCTCATTCCTACCGCGATATGGAAGACTGGCCACCGCTCTACACGGTGGGGAGCGTCTAGTTACTCGGCTTGCGCCAGAGTACGGTACGGTTACGAGATCATACAAGTACCATGGTTATATCACCTTGGATCTTGGTTGGAGTAAGCAGTAAGTTTGTGGAAAGATAATTCGGCCCATTTCTCCCCCCTCGACTGTGCAAAATGTATGTTTGACGGTAGATAGTCTATCAGGTGGATGGGAGAATGGTTTTATACATTTCAATCCACTCTCGTATTGGTGTCGCTATTTTGATAGCGCCTTCTCTACGGTAGGTATAGGTAGGGTTCGGGGGCTGGGTTTCACATACGTGTAGGTTGAAAGTCGCACCTTGCTTGTCGTGCAAGCCGTGCAAGTACTCAGGTATGGACGTAAGTGATGGGACGGACGGGGTTTTTGAGTCCGGGCGTAGTTATCTCCAGAGGGAAAAATTGATTTAATTAATTTTGGTGGGTGCGATGCCAGGAATGGTAGGAAGCTTTGATATCGTCGAGCCCTATCGGTCCTATCACTTACGTCAATACCCTAGTATGGCTGGACAGGACATTCATCTGAATCACACAATAGGCTGCAGTAGCGATCTGCAATCGGCGCACACTCCCGAAAGGGAATGATCTGTAAGTTACTCGAGTTCGGTGAGTTCTTCGCCTTTCTCGTCTATAAGCTGTTCATGAGTAATCGTTGAAACGAGAGTGAACCGAAATCCACACCTCGCTTGTGCCGGGAGATTATTTACGCTGGCGAGCACTCGCGAACGGAGAACCGATGGTGGAGGGTCACCCCAACATGATGTTCCGGGCGAAAAGTTGACCCAGGAGCCTTCTTCCCGGTGGACGGGTCTGCCAGCGATGGATTCCGAGCATGTTCCTCCGTACCTGGGTCCTGCCTGGCACGCGTTGAAGGTAGCGTTTTTATTGTGGATGGGATGTTTTAGTATTGCACCTTTTGGTTATACCTCGACGAAAAATGTCATTTTTTATACAATATCAGCGTGCAAAAAAAGGCCTTGCCTTCTTTGGGGAAAGGCTCCCCATTTTCTTGGAGTTTTGCCTGGCATGTCTTTCATAAATTTTCCATGCCTATTGAAGGTCGTAGATATTAGTTGCTGGTGAGCATCTTACGCCTTACAGGAGTGGGGGAGCATTTGCGCTACCATATTGCTATTTGAAAAGCTGACAAATTGGGTGTGGATTCCAAGCCTTGATGGGGGGCGGTGGGATCTGCCCTCAGTCGCTGTGGTGTTATGATAGAAGCCGGATTTTGACGCCACGCAAGACTTCCGGACCTCTCCTTGGTCTTCACTCAAGGGAGTGATCACTCGCTATCGTTGGACTCTCGATGGCGCCCGGGTGGTGAGTTTCCTTAGCTTGCGATACTCTAGATACAACGCTATACCACGAACTTACCGATGCGGTTGGCGGGGGCGAGTATAGAGGGCCCTTTATATCTCAATGGAAAGTTAATTTACGCGGGGCGTGAGGGGGAGGAAGAGAAGATCCGGGTTGGGTTTTCAAATACACAATTGACTCCCAGCACCATGAATGAGAATCTCGCATAGATTGGTTGCCTATGGCGCGGTAAACAAGGTATTATTCGGCCCCCTAGGTGTCACGAAACCCGGCTAGGAGAGAATGCTCAAGAGGGTATCATAGAATGAAATTTCCTATAGGATGTCGTAAGAGGGGATAAGCTAGCGAGCGATTGCGGAAAGAGAATGAGGGTTGAGCCCCCCCCGCTATTTCCTTCCCTTTTGGTCTATCAAAAGTGATCCTCCATAATAGAATGCATCTTCGGTATCATAGCTTGGTATCGTGCTACTCAGAGAAGGCATCAACCATGAGCACCACAATCCCTCATCCGGCCGGTCCTAATCGCCCATCCTTGGGAAACGCCGGATCTCGGCTGCTTGCTGTGAAGGCCCCTGTCGGGTCGGGGGGCCGGATATGTGCGTGAAACATACGGGAGTAGACTCGTGAGCAATGAATGCTCAGAGGGGTGCCGGGGTGGGGACAGAAGGCCTTTTCATGTTGCCATGTTTTTGATGCCGATGGGTACTGTGGAGGGTGAGAGCCTGACGATGAGCTACTCAAGCGGCATACCAGGATGGTTGAGCAGGGCAGATTGTGGAATTCCTAAGGGATTGCTCGGCTTGTGGTGTGCTTTGAGAATTCTGGGCTTCATGGGGATGAGATTTTTATTATTATGAATGAATGCTTCTGCTAATGTGATACACTAGGAATATTGCATAAAGAGAATCTCAATCGGGGGTGGAAGTGAAACAAGAAATATAAGTATTACCGGTATATAGACCGGATCGCAAAACAAACTTAATCTAACCAACACTGAAATAGAAATTAATGCCAAGCACCGTGGATTGCATGAAATAACTCAAGAGAATCACCATACCCGTGGTATGTTGAAAACGCGAAAAATAGAAAAAGGAAAAAATAGGATTAAAGTGGGAAGGAAAGAAGGAAATGCCGAACCGGAGCGTAGGGTAGGGATGGGGGTGGATGGGACGAGGGGTGAGTATAACTGATCTGGTTGAAACTGTTTGAGCTATAGGAGTTGTTCTTGAGGGGCCCTAGATGGGATAGAACGAGAGATAGGGTTGCCAAGTGGGGGATTATCTGTTGTACGTAGAGTAACATCATGCGTCAGCGTAAGTGGATATGTTTCTTGATGTGGAGTATTCTCACTAGTTAAGGAGGTTGGCATTCGATCATGGTTTGCCGACGATTAGCAATTGGAGCTTCTGGATTCCGATAATACCTTGATTGCGCCCTCTCGCCTCCTCGTGGTAGCATATGATAGGGGGTTTCGCCCATTGCTCTCCGATAATCGGGATTGACATCCCCGCGTTCCAGAAGCTACTTTATTAGATGCTCCCGCACCCACTCGGCAGCAAAAAATAGGAGTGTTCGGTCATCACTATCCGGTGA